GGAAGAGCGCAATGATGGTGCCAACTTGGGCCAGTGAAGCAATGTCCTCCACAACTAGATTGAAGAACAAAACGACAGCAACTTGTCTGTTCCCCTTCTTCCAATATCCCAGCACTGTTCCCATCCCCACAATTCCCCAATAAAAAAATCTTTAAAAAAAAATTTTTTTTAGAAGTACAATTGCTGAACAAAAGGAGTTTAAGTTTCTGCCATGGATTTTCAAATCCCTCTTGCCCAGCCCCCACTCCTTGGGTCCACTTCTTGTACCCTCCTCCCCATGGCAAAGGGCTCGAGTTGGGGGCTTGACATCCAGGCTTTGCCTCCTCCTTTTGACTGATGGGCATTAAACCCTGAAGACTCTGGATACTTACCCGGGCAAAACCAACTTCCCCGCGGGCCAGCGAAACGGAGTGGCTGTAGGCGCGCACGGTGACGTAGCCCACGTAAGAGACATGTTTGCTGTACCGGTGTTCATTTTTGGCTTCCACGCTGAAGGCGGGCAGAGTCTCGTCCTGGCTGTTCAGTTCCGCCATCGTGTACAAGCACGTGCCCATCATGTCGTAGCGACGGCCATCGAAGGTGGTGTAATGGGGGTCACCCTGGGCCCGGCAGGTAGCCACAGAAACTGGTATGCACCTAGCCTGCCCGTCCACCACTTGGCAGGATTGCAAGGGATCGCACTGCACACCTTGGCAGGGGTTAATCTCCATGGACGGTTGGGCTGGGGAGGGAAGTGGGGGTGGGGACCAAGAATGAGTCAGGAGTGTCCACGTAGGTTGGAATCCTGGAGCAATCCCACTGTGGGGAGTTTGGGTAGTCTGCTCACAACTACCCATTTTAGAAGTGGGGAAGCTGAGGTCTGGAATCCCACAGGGAGAGAGCTCCTCAGGCCTGACCCCAGCCCAGATTTTTTTATTCCTCAGTTTAACACAGCTCAGACCAGAAGGACTGGAAGGCAGTGAAGAAGGACCCATGGAAATGCTAATTTGTTAATTTTCTCTCCCTGCTTCTTCCTCTCCCCTACTTCCCCACCCAGGTCAACAAGCTAAGGCATCTGTTTTAAGGACAGAAGATGGAAGACAGAAACTGTTCAACAGAATGGAAATGACAGTGGGGTCAGGCTGCCTTAGGTTAGAATCCTGACTCGACTAATTAGCTGTGTGACACTGGACAAGGAATTTTAAACTCTGTGCCTCAGTTGCCTCATCTGTAACATGCGGATGACAATAATACCTTCTTTACAGGGACATATGAGGAGGGGAGTGCTGCCAGGTTTAAATAAGCTAAAACATAAGTAGGGTTTGGAACTGCCCTAAGTGTTCATTGAATGTTATCTGTTATAATTATTTACCTACCCTTTCCCCATTCTACTAATCAAGCTCAAGTGGCCCTTCGAAGTTGAGTGGCTTCCATGTCATGGAGGGTGGGTGAGAGGGCATTATTGCCAGTGCCGGGAACCTTAATGTCTAGGGGGAGGGAGGTCCGAATAAGAAGAAACATCTCTTCCTCCTTGTCTTCAGAAGCTCTTGCCTCCTGTCTGCTCATAATAGCAGCTCACCCTTATGCAGCCCAACTCACTTGCCAGGTGTCCCCTAAGTGCTTTCCAAATGTTAACTTGTTACACCCTCACTTAAACAATCCTGTGAAGGGGGCGTGCGGTTATTATCCCTGTTTTACAGATGTGGAAACTGAGGCCCACAGAGGTGAAGTCACATGCTCCAGGTCACACGAGCAGAGGTGGGATTCGAACCTGAGCAGATTGGCTTTTGCATCTGTGCCCGCAAATGCTGCACGGCCTTGGGGCAGCTTCTCAATGCTCTGAGCCTGAAGTGACACAGAGGGCCAGGTCCTAAAGGTGAACTATGTTAACGAGTGTGAGGCACCCAGGATGGTCCCTGGTATACTGAGGGGTAACTCTCCCAGCATGGTAGGCCTCATTATTATTATACTTTTAGACCTTCTCAGTTTGGGCATAAACATTCCAATATGAAGTGTGGGGAGTGCCAGTTAGCAACTGGTATAGTTGTGTGTCAGTTGCCAAAATATTTCCAGACTAGTTGGTATGAAGCTGCTGACCTGCCCCNCCCAGCACTGTTCCCATCCCCCCAATTCCCCAATAAAAATCTTAAAAAAAAAAAAAAGAGTTAAGGTCTGTAAAGGGTTTAGCACAGTGCCTGGTGCATGGAAAGTTCTCTCGGTTTTCCATTTGCAACCATTCTCCTCCCAAAAGCATGGGCCACTGCCCAAAACTGTTCAATAATAATTATTAGCTATTGTGACTCTTACAACAACCTCACCTCTCAATTTTTATCTTTTGCTTTTTTAAAGAGTAAATTAGTGGTTCTTGACTTCTGCTGGGTGGTGGACCCTCTGAGAACCCTCTGCCCAAAAACCTGCCACTGTTTGGCCCCTCCCCCCCACCCCCAACCCCTAGTTACTGACATTTTACAGGTCACCTTACTCTCTGAAAATCAATTATCCCCCAGGAAAATGCACAAATGTATAACTTGGCAGGGTTCGTATCAATAAAATATTAAGTCAGCATTTACTGAAAATTTGCTTGGTGCCAAGGCCTCTTTTAAACACCCTACAAATATTAACTGGTCACATTCCCACAACCACCTTGAAAAGCGGCTTCTACTTGAAGGCACCCTCTTGTTATCTTGTTTGACAGAGGACAAAACGAAGGACCTGAGAGACACTTACACGGCCAGGGAGAGGCAGCACCCCAGGCTTGGGGACCTGGGCCTTAACCACTGGCCACAGGTCTTCTAACAGACTCCCAGCCCCCACCCCCCCTTTGGAAGGATATCCTGCCCCTCCACCCGGCCCTGGGTGCCGCGTTGCTCACCAGCACTTGACCAGGATGCAGCCGCCGCACCTCCACCTTCACGCCTAGGGTCTCCACGCGCACGGCGCGCGTGTAGCTCACTCTCTGGCTGCCCCGATGCTCATTTTCCACCAGTACCCTAAAGGCGGGCAGCATCGCGTTCTGACCGCACGAACCAGACAGCAGGTAAGTGCAGGTGCCCATGAAGTCAAATCGCCGGCCGTCAAAGCTCACGTAGTGCGGGTCCCCGTACGCCTGGCAGCTCCCAAAGCGGTCAGGGTAGCAACCCAGGAGGTCGTTCTGCACGCGGCAGCGCTCGCCCGCCGGGCAGCCTTGCGTGTCGCTGCAACGCACCTGCCCGGTGGAGCTGTCGCAGGTACAGCGCCGCAGGCACTGGTCATCGGCCCACACCTGCTGGCCCGGCGCCAGCGGGCGGCCTTGATAGGTGCAGCCGCAAGACGAGGCCGCCACGCAGGCACCGCCGCTGGCCACGAAGCCCGGGAGGCATGTGCAGCCCTCCACGCACGGGCGCCCGGAGCAGTTGGCGGGCGCCGCCTCGGAGTTGCAGGAAGCGGGGCAGGCGGGACTGCAGGGATCATAGCGGCTGTTGGCTGGACAGGAAAGGGCTGTGGAAAGAAGGGGACAGGGGTCAGGCCAGTGCAGCGGCGCCCTGGAGGGACGCCCAGTTGGGGACGAGCTAGGACTTCCCTCCCAGAGCTCTGCTCCTGCCTCAGAGCTCCCCAGCTAGTTCACGGCACTGCCATCCTTCAAGGCACTCAGGCCCCAAACTTCAGAGACATAGTTGACCCTTCCCCCTTCATTCACTGGACAACCAATCTGTCAGTAAATCCTGTGAGCTCCATATTCAAAATCTATCCCCTTCTCCTCTCACCACCGTCCCCACCCTGGTTCTGTCTACCCCAGTAGCCTCCTGCTCCCATCCTGCCCCCACAGTCTTCCTCACAGGAAGCCAGAGGGACCCTGTTAACAACACCTGAGTCAGGTGATGGCTCTCTTGTGGCTCCGTCTTGCTCACAGTAAAAGCCGGAGTCGCCCCCACCCCGTGGCCATTGAGGCCCCACACGTCCTGCCCCTATCACTTCTCACTCTCCCTCTGGCTTACTCTGCCCCACCCACAGTTGCCTCCTCATGGGTCCTCACACTCCCAGCTCAGGCCTTGGCTCTAGCTGTTCCCTCTGCCTGTAATGGCCTTTCCTCAGAAGGCAGTGCAGCATGTGGTTAAGAGAAGGCTACTGGGGCCCAGATGTCCTGGGCTCCAGTCCCAGCTCTTCCCTTCTTACCTGTGTGATCGTGAACAAATGATTCCAACCACCCTATGCCTCGTTAGTAAGATGGGATAATAATAGTACTGACCTCACAGGGTTGTTGTGAGGAGTAAATGAGTTCATCCGTGTAGAGACACCCAATGAGCATCATTGTTATTACTTAGCTGACTCTGTTGCCTTATCCTGATCTCTGCTCCAATGTCATCTCCTCAGAGAGGTGTTCCCTGAGCACCCTCTTCTTGAGTCTCCCATTTGCTCTTAAATACATGAACTTTATTTCTTTTGCTCTCTGAAGACAGTCCACAGTTTACTGTTACTCTCTGTCTTCCTGATAGGATATCAATTCTGCGAGAGTGGGAATCTTGTCTGTCTTAAAAACAACTGAATCAGCACCAAGGACAGGGCCTGGCTCATAGAAAATGATCAGTAAATACTGTGGAAATGAGTGAGTAGATGAATGAATTCACTGGTTCCTCTTCAGCACCAAGCATTGGGAAACTCTGGGAGGAGAGTATTTACTGGGCAGTAAGGACATAGCAGCGACCAAGACAAGTCTCAAATGGCCTCAGTATCTCACCCAGACATACTCCCCCTCCACAGTCCCTGTCTCAAGCCCTGGCCCTGGGCCTGGATGCCTCTTCCTCCTTCCCTCTAGCCTCTCTGCCCTCTGAACATTTCTCTGGGAGTCTCACAGTGGAGGGACATCAGATGGGTATCCATCACCAGCACGGGGATGGGGCCAGACAGTGACTCAGGGAATGCTTATTGAATGAAAAAATGAGTGAATGAATGAATGAGTAAATGTATGGACACCTGGCTAAGGAGCTTGTACTTTATCCAAAGGTCATTTGGGAGTCATGGAAGGGTTGTAAATGAAGAGATGTTTATATTTCTGCTTTGGGATTCTGAAATATATTGTGCCAAGCTTTGCACATGCTCTTCCCTCAGCCTGGAACCTACTTTCTGCTCCCTTTCTCCTGTCTAGTTCCAAGCCCTCCTATAGGTTGCCAATTGGGCATCCGTTTCTCTAAGAAATCCTCCTTGAATCCCCCTACCCCCACCCCTTACCCAGACATAATTAGAAAGCGTCTTTGGTCTCCCACTGCCTTCTGGGACTTCGCCCGCCCAGCCCTGACCACTCTGCTTGTGCCTCCCCCCACCCAGCCATGATTACTCGGGACTGTCACTGTCTAGTGATATGGCTGCCCCAACCTTAGGCTCTCTGTTGGCAAAGCCTGGCCATCTTGTCCATCTCCATGTCTCTGGCATGGCCCAGCTCTAGGCTGAACCACAATAAGTGCTCAGATATTGAGCAGATTTAAGGGGTTCCCTGCCTCCCACCATGTATTCCCAGCCCCCACCAGGGTATTTACTCACGGCAGTTGGCTAGTGGCCTCCAGCCCTTGACAGAGATGCCAAGCTCCAGACAGGCCTGGGCGTAGGCGCTGAGGCCACGGCACAGGTTGGACCGGTCCCCGTTGACCACGCACAGGTCATATACACACTCCTTCAGGAAGGGCCTGGGATCCAGAGCATCATGGCAGGCAGCAAAGGGGCCATCGGGCTTGGTCAGCATGCCACAGAGATTGTCGCCCTCGTAGTGCTGAGCCTGGCCTGTGGTGCAGGAGGGGCAGTTGTTCTGGCAGCTGTCCTGACACAGGTAGTCCCCATCATCCAGTTTCCAGCTACTGGCAAACTCGACAACGTTAGGAGCCTGCTCCAGGTCAGGTGTGAGGAAGTCATCAGCGGGGTTGCCATTATAGTTGCCACACAGTCCGTACACCTGGCCTCGGAAGCGCTCAGGCAGGCTCAGTGCCAGATGGGAATCCCAGTCATAGGTGACCACCAGCCCAAAGTCCAGTTCCACAATGGCCCGTGTCCCGCTCTCGAACACGCGGAAGCGACCCTCGGCCAGGGTGGCAGGCAGGCACGAGCGCTGGTTGTCGATCTGCAGCGGGGGTGAGGAGAGAAGGGAGTGGTCAGGTCCCCTGTGGTCTGACCTTCAGCCCCTCATCTCCTCTCACTCCTTCCCCTGCTCTGGCAGCCGTGGGATTCCTCTCTCCTGTTACTGCCACCAACCAAGCCTCAGAATCGCTGTCCTTGCCATCCCCATGGCCTGAAATGCTCTTCCCCTAGATGCACACATGGTTAATCCCTCA